GTTTGTATTGTTTTTGTCACATTAATTCATTCTTTCTCACCATTTTTTACACTGAAAATGACAGACTTATAAAAATTCAGGCTTTTTCTTACCTAGAAGAGTGTTGAAAGAATTCAGAGTAGGGAATCCTATCAGTACAATTCACTGACATTTGAGTAAATTGAGATGGAAAGGACCTAAGAGTACGAGGACTCACATACCTTGAAGTACACAGTTCCCTTTTCTTTGACGATGGCAGCCTGCTCCAATTTTTCTTTGGTATCCATTTCCCAGGATTCTTTGGCCTGTTGTGTAAATTTGTGACAATGGTTAGATGAACAGTGAAGAAAAAGCATCAGCTCATGCCTGTAAGAATAGTAGCTACTTCCAAAGGATACCCACAACTCAAAACACACTGACTGTTAAAACCATGGGCCACTGCCAATGCACTGTTAGGCTAGAACTCACCTTCACAATGACAAAACTTCGCCTTGACCCAGGTTACTCAAGAGGAGAAGCAGGCAAAAATACAGTAAGAAAGATAAGCTCTTGAGCACCTTTGGAATTATAAGTCAAGGCCACACAATGAAAGCTATGGTCCCCTATTTCACTCCTGCAAACTGTGCCACTAAACTGCTATTATAACAGCAAGTTGTTTCTCTCAAGCCTCAGTTTTTCAACTCTAAAATGGGGACACTATTATAGTCAAGTCACAGTTGTGTATTTTTAACCCTATAACTTTTTAACAGAGGTTAAAGATTTCTAGCTCATGTAGTTGTCTCTCCACTCTAAAACAACTAGATACACTGAAGCCTCCAACATGCAGGCATCAACTTGCAGATGTAAACTAGGGAATTTCTAGTAAATCATAAATGAGGGTAAAGCTGTTGCAGAAATACATTTCAAAGCCATAAAGAAATGATTTCACTGTCATCTACTTTGTGCATATGTATATCATCACACCATTCTAGGTATGAATCCAGGGACATCTGAACTTTCATTACAAACAGCTGGATCTGCAAGGATTCTAAAGAGTCAATAAAACAATTTGGGGTCCTTTAGGGAAAACGGCAATGGCTGTGTCAGTGCTGTTTACCGTGTAGGATTTATGAAACTTGGGTGGGTAAGTGTAAAATTCTCTCTATTCAAAAGACAAATTTAGTGGTTTATTCCCTGCTGTCACACTCCTTTCCCCTCCCATCCTGCTTTAAAAAAAATGAGTTACTAGTTCTTTCTGGCAACTCTATACTGCTTTCTAACAATTTACCTCTATTATTTAAAAATCTAGTAATAAAAAGTCCTTTGCATTTTTTATATTGGGTTCAGTCTTTATGGCGTGTAACTATACAGCTGAACCTTGGACAATGTGGGGGTTAGGGGTGTACTGAAAATGCACAGTTGAAAATCCAAGTATAACTTTGGACTTCCCCAAAACATAGCTATTAGTAGCCTAATGCTGACCAGAAGCCATATCAATAATAAACAGCTGATTAACATATTTTATGTTACATGTATTGTATGTTGTATTCTTAAAATAAACTAGAGAAAAGAAAATGTTTTTTCAAGCTGTCACAGATCTCCAAAAACTTTTCCAATATACTTATTGAAAAAAAATCTGTGTTAAGTGGAGCCAAGCAATTAAAATCTGTGTTATTCAAGGGTCAGCTGTATTCTTAATACCACAGGGCAGAGAATGAAATCATGTTGCCTCCAATAACAACACACCCCTTCATGTAGTTACAAATACACCAAGCATTGCTGCGTGAAATACACTCTTGGAGGGATGACTGTGCAGGCTCACTGGGGCACATGACAGTGAGAATGCTCCCAAACAGGCATTGTCCACTGGGCCACGGGCGGGAAGAGATGAGGGCTACTTCCTTAAAACGGAAATAAAGTCAATGGCCTATAGAGCCAGATGCTAAAAATTATTTTCTGTCCAACAATAAAAAGCACTTTGTGCTATGAACAGCTTTGAAGGATCCGTGCTGAGGATCAGCAGGCCTTCAGGAGGTTACGCGTGATGGTCATCAGTACAGCACAGGCTTGTTCTGGGGAACAGGAAGTGTGAGGGGCATAATCAGGAACATCACTGTTGGGGGTGAATCCCAGCACAGTCCTCCCCTCACTTTCTTAGCCCAAAGGTACAGCCCTGTAGGACAGTGATGTCCCTTCTGAGCCTAATAAAATAGAAATGAATGGGAAAATTTCCAGTCCAAAGTGTAATGTACAGAAAATGGAGGTAGCTCTGTAGGAATAAAAAGGCACACAAAATGCAGTTCTTGGGGCTCCTGGGGAAGGGTAGGGCTTTGGTGATGCACAGGGGACTAAGCTGGACACAACAGCACACTTAGCTCAGGCGTACGCTTTGTGCTTGTCTAGTGAGGCTGCTGATGGAAGCCTCCAGAAGAGGGCCTGAGATGGGAATATGCTCAAGAAGGACACCCACTTCTGGAATCCAAGGCAACTGACAAACTCTTTTCTCTACTTGGACAGGTATGAAAAGGAAAGGTTTAGGGTTAACAAGTTTGCCTTTTAGGTCCCTTGTCACCAAGCCTGGTGGCCCATGAAGCCTTATACTTTGGATAATAACTTAGAGCCACAGACAAGGCCTCTTCATGATTTCCAAGAAGGGTACAACCCGTTCAACACTAGAAAACTACACCCCACTTCCCCAAGGAGCTGCTTGGCAGAATGTGAACCTTTCTGTCTTCAACCCAGGAAAAAAAGTATACAAAGAACAAGTCTAGGAACAAATAAGGGAACAAGTCTTGGATCCTACCCAAAAAAGTAAAAAAGAAAAAAAAAAGGCTGACACATTGGAACAAAGTAAGAACACTGAGCTCCTTAGTTACACATCAGCTGTGCTGTACCAGTTGTCCCACACTCTAACAGCGGTGTCAGAGACAAGAGACAAAGTTCATCATGAAAAGCACAACATACAAGTGAATAAATACCACCTATCTACATCATCTAGTAATATCAGATACTTATATTTATAGGAAATGGGTAGAGAAGTAATCTATAATGATTTCAGAGAAGTTGGTATTTTTCTCACCTTTTCGAAGCTCTTAAGTGTAACTTCATATATAAGCTCAGCATTAGGCTCAATGCCAAATTTAGGCTTCCCTGCCTCTGCAAAACCATATCTGAAATGGAGAGTAAAAAAAAGAAAACTTTAAAAGAATTGGTGTATTTCCAAGTACTTCCTTCGGTATTTTGAGGCATCACATTAGCAGAGAGCTATCATTTGTGAACTACACACATCAGAGACCTGAAGACAAACCTGATGTGGATCAGAAGAGTATGCCAAGTATCACTGCTGTTGGGTTTTAAGAAGCAGGGCTAGATTAGTTTTCTTTTCTCCTTCACATTCCCATGTAATGCAACACTCGTACTCCTTGGGATTGCTTGTTCAATGCAATTTTAAATGTCACTGCCTTTTTCTCTTTGATTTTGCATTTTGTTATTTTTATAAAACAGCCATCATTGGACTATTAGGATTTTTCCCAAAGTTTCATCAGCAGGAGGACAGAGAAGACGTGATCATTATAGTGTTGTCTGTTAGAGGTAACGTTTTAACAAGCTTTTAACACTAAGTGCTATCCCTTCCAATAGTACTGCTTCTAGTCAGATAATGGGGAGAAAGGCTCACACATCAGGAAGGAAATACATTCTTACAGTATTTCTCTGAGACTTTTAACAAGAACAGTAGAAAACACAAATGTAACAAATACATAATAAAAAAGAACAGCCCTAACACTTCAAGAGAAAATACTCTCTTATCTTTGTGCCTATACCACTGTAAGACATGAAACCTTTAGGCAAAATTTAATAAAATAACTGGGAACGTAAAAATTTGTTTTTTTGGATCACTTAAGATCTTTAACACATCTAAGCCATTCAAAAGAGGCACCAAACTGTCCTGGTTACCATCAATGGAATTAAAAAAGATTGAAGAAGGATGTTATTTCTATAATCTCTCCTGGGTTCAAATGAAGAGATTCTGTGAAGATGTATGTGGAACACATTATCATGGGAGGTGTCAACTCACACCAAACTTTTGGAAGCATCTAACCTGACTTCCACATTACACAGAAAGTTGTCTGACTTATGCTAGATCGGCCTGGGCAAGGAAGAACCCAGGGGACACAAATTCACCTTACAGAGAACACCACAGATGGAATTCCAGGACTTAACCAAAAGACAAACGGGGCTATATAGTAGCAGAAGGAATCTGGTATAAATATCCTTGAATTAATCATTGCCTGTGGAGAGTAGAGATACAAGTAATGGCTATTGATGACCATTTTTAAGCCTTTAGGTGCATACAAGAGGCACTGCACCAGAAGTTCTTAACAATTGCTCCCTTTTTACAGATGAAAAAACTGAGGCTCAGAGAGACATGCCTCCTAAGAGTCATGCAAAGAAGCAATGGTAGAGCCAGGATTTAAATTCAGGCTTCATGTGTCCCTAAAAAATTGTTTAGTTTTTGACCCATATTGCCTCATAATCAGACACTATGGTTCTGGGAAGACTGCAGTTTGTTTGGGGTTGGTGCAGGGCAGAAACATAAGGAAAGAAAGGAAAAAGAAAAGTGTTAAAACTCATCATACTTTACCTAAAACAAAAAAGATCAATCAACCGTGGTATTTAAAACAATATAAAAGATATTGTGCTGATGAGAAAAAAGAAAATGAATTCTTTGGAAGTGTTTTATGAATTTTTTATGGAAACATCCTGCCAAGGGGTCTATCAGAAATGAAGAGAAGGTATGCCCTGGAAACCTCTGGAGACTGAAGGACAGAGTGATACTAAGAGTGATACAGAACATATATTTGCAACAGCTCTATTTACAGCAGTCAGAGGCAATTTTAAATGTCACTGCCTTTTTCTCTTTGATTTTGCATCTTGTTATTTTTATAAAACAGCCATCATTGGACTATTAGGATTTTTCCCAAAGTTTCATCAGCAGGAGGACAGAGAAGACGTGATCATTATAGTTTCAAAACAGGAAATTCACAGACTTTGCAAAGGATTCCTGCCTGTGTGTCAGTTTCCTAAGCTGGTTTTCAGCTTGATGCACGTACTTAATATTAAAATTACATTAAAAATTTCAGAGTTCTCTTTACATATAACCCATCATATTGTAAAAAAAAGATTGGCTATTAATAAACATATTGGTAAAGATAAGTGAAGCAATGTATGCTATGGTAAGTGGAAAACTTAGCAAGACAGGGAAATTCACTGCAAGAACTCACAACATGCCCAGTGTGTAGGGATTTCCTACATACATGGATAATACTATGTAGTGCATGGGCGGACAGTCTCATATTGCATAAATCGCCCATTATGTAGCTCCTCAACATACCAACCAACACCTAAGGGTGAACTACAAATATAAGTAAAACACACTGAAGTGGAGAAAGAATTATGATAGAGAAAAAGAAGGTAATAAATAAAAGGCAGTGAAGGTTCTATGGGGTTCAAGGTGTAGAGCATTTTGGGAGGATTTCATGTGGGTTGTGGCATGGCTGAAACATAACTTGAGGAATAGGGTTATGGCTCCGGTGTTAGGGCAAAGGTAAATACGCCGCAAGCAAGTGTACAATATTACCTTACTGGTAAGTGCAGATCATCAAGATTCTCAGTAACTCAAAATCCTACTGACAAATCCAAGGAGCCAGAGAGGGAGGAGACACAAGATAAGGAGATGCACTTTCATGCAAAGAGAATCAAAACACACTGGTTTCTCTCAAGGGTCCGTTTTTCAAGACAGAAGAGTTGGAGTCATTGTATAATTTTAGATCTAAAAATACTACCAAACATGTTTTCACAAGAGAGACTGTTAGTGTCTGATAGTTCTAAGCTTGGAAGTGCTAGTGGATATTCTTATGATGGGAAAATTTTAGGCAAATATGAGTCACCTCCGCTGCCTTTAGATGCAGGAAGAACACTCTTTCTCAGGGACTCTGTATAAGAACAGGTGGTACAAATTCAAGTGGTAATAAATCATCCAAATACTGCTTTTACTTCCAACCCCTACAAGCTTTACTGCCTCCTGCTTAATTTAGAGAAAAGAGAAGAAGGGCAAGAGAATCATGTGAGAAGGACTAATAGCTTCCTCTCTTGGCAATATGGCAGGCAAAACAAAAAACAGAAAAGAAAAACTTGTCTATCCGGTCCTTAACACACATCAATCAAGTAAACAGGCTCCTACACCTTTGCAATATCATAAGGGGCCTATTAATTGACTCCCTGACCAACTGTAGCCTGGCTTAATTATTTCCATTGTTAGCATTAACTTTACTGAAAATACCAAAATGGGCGTTGAGAAAGCAAGTGTATCCCAATTCTTCAGATAACATCACTGATATGCTGCTTACCGTGGTCCAAGATATAAAATACATTGTTCTTCCCGCTGCATTTTCTCCAGGGCTTTGTCAATTCCAATTGGAATGTCATGGTCTTCTCCTTCGCCGACAATGAATACCACATCTCTGCAATCAAACATCCTTCCATCACAGCAGCCTTCCAGGTGGACTGAGGCAGAAGGGATGGAACAGTCAGCAAAGCTGCTTGTCAAGACTGGCTCAGTTAGTGAAGTGATAGAGGAGTATTTACCCTTTTTCATTTTTACAGACATACATGGAATGTCTTGTTGAAGCTTAGTTTACCCAGTCTGAAAATTTAAGAACAATCATACTTATGTTTTAAGTTTAAACTTATAATAACTGATAACTATCAAAAAGATAGCTTAGTGGACAATAAAATAAAGCAGAAAATAGGTTTAATATAAACCTACTATATGACAGGGGTTTCACCTATAACATAGGATCTAGATTAGATTATTTAACAGATAATTATTAAAATGCAACAAATTTCGTATCAAGTATGTAATGCCTTAAACATTTATAACTGCATCTTGGCTTCAGATCCTTGGATGAAAAACAACTGAATGGCTATTTCCTCAATGACACATAAAGGTTAACAGAATATATAGAAGCTTTTTTTTTTAGTCTTAATTTCATTCACAAATGTATCTGAATAAAAGTGGAAAATTCAAAGGCAAAATCATCAATAACTAACCTAGCTCTACCCCTTGGAGTAATAAATGTCAAGTACAAAGGGATCAATAGTCACCACAGCCTCACCAATCAGATTACTTAACCACATCCTCTGAAACATTAGGAGGTCAATTTCCTGGGGCCTAATTCTTCCCTCAACTCAAACTCACTCAGCTCATTCCCAGGGTAATTTCATATTAGATACAAGGGGCTTTTATGTTTTTTCAAGATAAAAGAGGTAAAAACACATAAATATATATATTTTTTGATCAGTTAGACTTTTCCTCCCCTAGGATAAACAATTTTTGAAACTTCTCAAATTCTTTGAATATTGAGGATATTCATTCATTTCCATTTAGGTCTTACTTAGGACTAAGAAAAATGGGTGGCTTGTATGCATGACAGTCACACCAAGCAAAATAATAATCTCTTTCATAAGAAAATTCTTTATTCCTACTTCTCTAATATAATGGCCTACATTCAAATGTAATGTTTTCCTAAAATGCTGCTTTTCTAAGACTGGTTGCTTTACTTTAAATCAGTAACTTGATTTAGACAGACTAAAAAGCACTAGTTCTATTATTCTTATTACATGAGACAATCATACTTTTCTAAATACACATTCAGTTCCAACTTACTCTACTTTTGAATGACATGACCTAAAAGGTCCTTTGCACCTCTAAAATTCTATGATTCTATGTCCCAATAATGTAACTCTTGATATAAGCCAGAAACCAGCTTCAAAGTTAATTCCTATAAGTTAATCATTTGATCACCCACTACCTTTAGCCCAGGCCTGAGAAACTGGACAAACCCTGAAAAGTAAATAGCAATGGTGTAGACACTAGGGGTCAAAATGTTACATGAACATTTATGCTTTGAAGCTCTCTACTCTTTTCTAATTCACTTAGATTAATATCATCCTTATTTGTTCCCACTGCAGCCACGGGATGGAGTAAGAAGCTAGAGACAAACTAGAGAAAGCCTGACTCTCAAGTAGGATCTTCCAAACAAAGGCAAGAGCCAGCCTGGTTCTCAGGGTGGATAGCTGGCACATAAGAGTTTTGTTCTACATCCCATTCTCATAAATACAGATGTTCCTCTCTATTACACTCACTTTTGAAATACTCTAGATAATAATAAAACTTACTCAACTAGCAGCACACTGTAAGTTCTTCTGAATTAGAAATATTTTCAAAGTAAATTCAACTTTATTACTTTCAAATACATACCAGAGAAGTTCCGCAGAGAGTCTAGAGCTTAAGATATTTTCACTACAGTAAAAGCTGATGTTTCTAAGGGAGTTGAGGATCTGAAAAGTTTGTGTTCTTAAGTAATTTTAAATCTGCCCAAGAAATCTGATTTAGACTAACGTGATGACACTTTTCATGAAAAAAGATTTGCTGTGCGAATTTTCAGCAAACATAGTGGAACATCTCAAGTATTGAGATCTATTATGCTAGTAGCTCACCAGTTGGTTGACAGATCTTTTTGTCTGAGGTTTATTGTTAGAAGTATTTCCTCCCAAAAGGAGAGTACATTTAGTGGGGTAAGAGACTATCAGTACATTCGTTGTGGTTTTTGGTTGATCAAGTTTGAATGTGTTTTCAAAACAGGAAATTCACAGACTTTGCAAAGGATTCCTGCCTGTGTGTCAGTTTCCTAAGCTGGTTTTCAGCTTGATGCACGTACTTAATATTAAAATTACATTAAAAATTTCAGAGTTCTCTTTACATATAACCCATCATATTGTAAAAAAAAGATTGGCTATTAATAAACATATTGGTAAAGATAAGTGAAGCAATGTATGCTATGGTAAGTGGAAAACTTAGCAAGACAGGGAAATTCACTGCAAGAACTCACAACATGCCCAGTGTGTAGGGATTTCCTACATACATGGATAATACTATGTAGTGCATGGGCGGACAGTCTCATATTGCATAAATCGCCCATTATGTAGCTCCTCAACATACCAACCAACACCTAAGGGTGAACTACAAATATAAGTAAAACACACTGAAGTGGAGAAAGAATTATGATAGAGAAAAAGAAGGTAATAAATAAAAGGCAGTGAAGGTTCTATGGGGTTCAAGGTGTAGAGCATTTTGGGAGGATTTCATGTGGGTTGTGGCATGGCTGAAACATAACTTGAGGAATAGGGTTATGGCTCCGGTGTTAGGGCAAAGGTAAATACGCCGCAAGCAAGTGTACAATATTACCTTACTGGTAAGTGCAGATCATCAAGATTCTCAGTAACTCAAAATCCTACTGACAAATCCAAGGAGCCAGAGAGGGAGGAGACACAAGATAAGGAGATGCACTTTCATGCAAAGAGAATCAAAACACACTGGTTTCTCTCAAGGGTCCGTTTTTCAAGACAGAAGAGTTGGAGTCATTGTATAATTTTAGATCTAAAAATACTACCAAACATGTTTTCACAAGAGAGACTGTTAGTGTCTGATAGTTCTAAGCTTGGAAGTGCTAGTGGATATTCTTATGATGGGAAAATTTTAGGCAAATATGAGTCACCTCCGCTGCCTTTAGATGCAGGAAGAACACTCTTTCTCAGGGACTCTGTATAAGAACAGGTGGTACAAATTCAAGTGGTAATAAATCATCCAAATACTGCTTNATTGGCTATTAATAAACATATTGGTAAAGATAAGTGAAGCAAGCAAGCAAAAAACAAAGTTCAAGTTAAATTATAATGAAGGCACAGTTAAGAAAGCAAAAACCAAAAAACAGGAACATTCACTGCAGCTGGTCTGTTTAAGACAGATAGTAAATGACTGAACCAATATTTGCAGCCAACTTATAGGAAGATACAAATTTGCAATAACTCTCATACTTATTACCTTATATCTAATGTTTTTTCCCTCGTAAATCTAACTCTTCTAAATTGGATCTCAACAAGCACTACCTACATTACCATAAAATCTTAAATTGATAAACTGATAATGCACACACATCAGTTTATATGTATACTCAAAACTACCACTTTTTAATACTGATATTATATGCAATGTCAGAGCAAGGGGAGATATCATAGCCTCAGGGAGTATATAGCCTATTGACTCTTTACATCTCTATAAGTAGCAAAGGCTATTGCTCTGTTAATTCATTTCTAAACTTGGAACACTGGTGTGACAAGTTCTACAAGACAGCTGACAAGAACTCACACCCCACCTTGGAGCAGAAACGCCTGCTGACTACCACAGTAGGCCCTCTTGACGGCGACAGAGGCAATCATGCCTAGCTCCTATAGACCTGGTGTTTTTTTTAAGTCTCAACAATTGCTGCCAAAAAAAAAATGTGGCAGCTCTGGCTGTGGAAGACCTGTGGTTGCTTTTGACCTTGCATCTCTTAGTGCAAATACTCACTTTAATAAATATTTAATAATAACCATCATGACTCACTGGGAGCTTGGCCTCTACGGGCTCAGGAGATCTGTTGCTAATTCCAACCAGCATGATTTACGGGAAGTAAATGATCTATGACGTGCCCAAAGAGAATAAAAGTACATACAGGATGCTCCTACTTAGGGCTTTTTTGGTAGAGAAAGAAATACACAAGTTAAAAAGGGGCAACATTTTCTCTTGACTTAAAAATCTATGCAACTTAAAGTGGGAGAGGTCCTCTAAACCCCATGAAGTCAAACCAAACCAAATCACCAGAGCTTAGCTGCGCAATCTGAGTGTAACCACATCAAGTGAGTCTGGTCCGCTGCAAAACATCACTTAAACTGGAGCTCCGACTTATTGTTCTCTTACTGCCCTAGAGCAATTTTGTTTTGAAGAGCACAGAACACCCTGTTCTGAATGTGGCTGGCACATGAACTCGATGTGCTGACAGCAATTTGTACTCTGATTAAAATAGGGGGGAAAGGAAAGAGAGTATACTGCAGTAAAAACTGGAATGCAAGAACCCAAAAACTGTGTAATTTATATTTTAGGAAGCAAAACTGAGAAAGAGCCTCTATAACCTAAAAAAAAAAGTGCTGTAAACACTCCAACCTAAAGACTTTAGCTCTGGTGTATCTGTTTTTCCCTTTTCTAATTATAGTAGTTGGTGTCAGATAGCTTTGCACTCATTCCCCAAACAATTACTGGGTCATGGGGATCTGAATGGGAGTGTTGTAATGGCATTACTACTAGACGAGACCGGTCATTTGGCCAGAGAAAACCAGGTTGTGACAGGTTACTCCCACTTGGCAAGGGTTTTCTTTGCTGCCTAATTCATGCCAAATGGGTTTCTTTCTGCCTGCGTCGTCTGCCTAACAGAGTAGAGCCTCCAAAAGACAGTAGGATCTTAATGACCCCCTGAAAAAGCAAATGAGGAAGCAAAGATGGATTTCTAAAATCAGGAGAGACATATTAATCACTGATTAGAAGAGAAACTGTTCCCATCAGGCATGGTGGTCAAATTTCCCCCAAACTCTGTACCATTTTGTACTATTTGAGATGAATACCACTGTAAGATTGCTTGTGGAACTGAGGGACAGTGAGAGCAGGCATGAAAGCTGACTACTTGAATAGAATAACATTTATGCAAATGACGTGGGTATCTTAGTCTAACCAGGACGCATACACACAGCAGTAACTTCTATACCGACACAGGTCTTCACCATTCTATTCTTTATACTGGTGTCCCACTTCAGTCAGACCTGGATTCCAGTCCCATTCTGCACTTAGCAGTTGTGACTTTGGGCAAGGTCTTTTAAATTATCTGAAGCTCAGTTTCTTCATCAATAGAACAGGGGAAATAATATCAGCTAACTCATAATTGCTGGGAGGATTAAATTAGATATAGAATTAAAGCTCTTAGCTCAGTACCAGGCATTTACTCATTCTTATGTGGGGTGTCTACTATGTAAAAACTCTGTTACATGTGGATATACAGAGATGAAGTCAAAGGAAGTTAGCTATGATTATTTTCTTGCAATCAGTGGTAAATTATACTAAACATGCTTTAAAACTTGGTATAAGAAACCACTTACTGGCTCCCCAGAGAGAGCTGTCAAGGTATGAATAAAACTCAAGAGTAGGCAACTGCAGTATCTTAAGCTTCTTTTGTACCTCACAGTGCCCAGCACACAGTTTTGGGCCAGAAAGTAAATATTTATTTAACAATTAACCTGAAAACAGGGCATTAAAGAAAATGGTAATGATTTTCACTCATTTATAGGAACTTTCCTTTTTGAAAATATTAGTCAATGCTCCCAATATTTAGTAAATTCCAAGAGTTCTTTAAACTCTTTACTGATATGGATCTTTTGCTTTTAATACTATTCTAAAATAAACAATCCATTAACTAGATTTTTATAACAAAAATATTTTACTCTACCTGAAGACTTCTTCCAAACCCTTGTGAATGTTGATTTTGACCTCTTCCCAGGAATTATGAATGTTCTTAATAGCATCTAGAATGGTGAATTCTTGGTGAAAAAGGAATCCTTGTGAATGGTGAAAGCCAGAAGCCTTTCTTGCCAAGATCCATTTGAGGAATCACTTATCTATGGCAAGTATAACCTTACGAAACGTATTTCTTAAATAATAAGACTTTAAGGTAATTACTCCTTGACCTATGGTCAGCAGAATGGATGTTGTGTTAGCAGGCATGAAAACAACATTAATCTTGTTTGTGTCCTTCAGAGCTCTTGGGTGACCAGCTGCATTTTCAATGAGCTTGTCAAGTAGGCTTATAATATTCAGTAAACCATACTGTAACAGATGTGCTGTCATCCAGACTATGTTGTTTGACTTCTCTTTAGCTATGAAAGTCCTAGATGGCCTCTTCTTCCAATTGAAGGCTATTTTGTCTACATTGAAAATCTGTTTAGTCTTCTCCATCAGCACTTGCTGCTTTACCTGGCACTTTGATGGTATAAAGATGGCTTCTTTCCTTAAACCTCATGAACCAACTTCCACAGCTTTCAACCTTTCTTCTGCAGCTTCCTCACCTCTCTCCTCCTTCACAGAATTCAAGAGAGTTAGGGCCTTGCTCTAGACTAGGTTTTGGCTTAAGGGAAGTCTGTGGCTGGTTTAATCTTCTATCCAGACCACTCACTTTCTCCGTATCAGCAATAGGCTGTTTCGGTTCTTATCACTTGTATGTTCACTAGAGTAGCACGTTTCATTTCCTTTCAGAACTTTTCCTTTACATTCACAACTTGGCCAACTGTCTGATACAAGAGGCTTAGCTTTTGGCCTATCTTGGCTTTGGATGTGCCCTCCTAAGCTTAATCACTTCTAGCTTTTGATTTACAGTGAAAGATGTGTGCCTCTTCCTTTAAGTTGAATAGTTGGAGCCCATAGTAGGGCTACTAATTGGTCTGATTTCAAAACTGTTATGTCAGTACTGAACACATTCACTGGGTGGTTTCGAAGTTCTTCTATGTGCTATTCTTACGAGTCTCTAACATTAAATTTTAAAGAAATCATTTAAAAGTATATATATTTTTATCAAAGTTAACAATTAATAAGTACAATCTCCCCTGGAATAAGAAAATCATTTTAGACAATTTTGCCATCTGTACCACATTTCGTTAAAATGACCAAGAACCTAGCTTCCAGACTATTTAGCTATTATTATTTTTAATATTATAGTTCTACCATTTCATGGATCTTTCTAAATAAATGTACCCAACTTCACTGTCATGTTATGGAAATTTCTTTTTTTGCTAATGTTTCTTATGCCTACAGTCTTCATTTCTTGGCTTTATTTTTTGTGATGTTTAGTATACCCTATAGAATTTTTTTTTCAAAAAGGCTTAAGT